TGCTAATGTGATTTGTGAATGTTTCGACGTGTATTTCGCAAGGCGTAGTAAATAAATTACATTGGCAGTTTAACGACGTCGTCTTGCCGTTGGAAATTGTCGCCGATTGGCGGCTTTTGTTTGAGTCTAAGATTTCCAGCCCGGTTGCAGCAGGGCCCGAACCCCCCGAACACCCCTCGCCCGCAAATAGCTGGCCATTTAACAAGCCAATAGATACAAAAGCCAGGCCACACAATGGTCACACAACATAGAAAGACACAATGCTACGCAGACACAGCTGCGGCCAGAATAATAGACCCAATGTTGCAATAACATAATATCTCACTTTTAGCCCATGCAACTGGGTATATTTTAACTGGGTTTTTGGGGACCATTGTTATAGCCCCATATTAATACCGAATCGATATTACTTAAAATTATCTGAGGGCTTTCTTTTGCCAGCCTAAGAAATTTTTCTACCACTTAATATGTTTATTAATATTTCACGCAAAAAATATGGGAAACTTCTTTTATGTTATGTATATTTTAAATATCTTTTGTATTCAACATTAGAATATACTCTCAAAAATTGGCAAATGTCGTGTATTAAATAGTTTAAAAGGATAACCAATTTGTACATTTAAATTGAGTATGTAATGACTGCTATTTTTGTGACCCGGACTGCACGTGGATACGTGGTCATATTGGATACACAACCTGCTGCCGATGAGCTTCAATGGTTCGCGATCGCTTGATTGACAGTTAGCTAACCGTTTCGACTTAATACAAGTGTTTAACAGTTAGTCGGCGTGGAAATAGTGAGAGATACTTGCCGCCAAGGAAATGCTATCATACATTCGCTGGCCATGGGAAACCGATGTTGATGTGGATGTGGATGTTTGTGGTGGGGGTTGCACAAACAGCACTTATCTACCGATATCTGGAGCAGCAATGGAACCCGTTCTTACACTGATAAAACAACAAACGACAATGGCAATACTTTACAATTCCGGGAAACAGGAAACTTGTAATGAATGAGAGGAGTTTAATGGATCCATTGCGGTCTGATTCTGGGCATTGACTTGGCTTGTTTGATGGAGCAATGGCTTGCTCTTGCATTCACTAAAATGGAGTTATTTGGGAAAATAAAATACAGTATTAGAAAATGTTTCCAGAAAACATTTATCAGTTAATATACATTTGACTGGGAAATCTTTGGCATTTATTGGGACGTGAAAATACATAACAAATGTGTTTGGATTAAAATTTTTGTTATGGCCTAATCATTTAAAACGGGCTGCTTTTCTCATGCCATTTATTTTCTTACTCACATTTATTTCTATTATGACAACTTAAATTGCTTGTGGCATTTAACTTTAGTTGTAACTCTTTTTAAACAAATTGCGTGTGCTTGCGAAACGTTTTGGCCATTTCGAAATTTGGCAAAACACAACGCACAAACCTTTAACCCTCACCTAAAAAAGTGTGAACTAACTTGGCTGTAATTTACTCCCTGTCCCAAGAAGCCGTACCTCAGCCAACTGAAAAGTTTGCGAAAATAACCTGCCATAAATAAAGAGCCTCTGCCCCCAAAAAGGGGACATCACTGTGACCTTAACCTTAACCCCAATCTCTGGTTTTGGCACTTTGATTTTTAGCCAGTGGAAATCTGGGGACTTGTGGGATTGGGGGAATACAAATGCAAACACAAATGCGAAGAGTGGCAGGCTGGAAAATAAAAACCAGTTGCCGCAGAACCTTACAAGTGCCTCGCGATCTTGGCCTGAACGAGTTGGCCGGACAGATGGAAATTGTTGTAAAAATATGGGTCGTGCGACAAGAAATGAGAAAGTGCCAGTGAGCCAGCTGCGGAGACCGTTAGAATCGACTTTATGAATGCAAGTCTTGGGCTTGGCCGGCAGATCGAAGAGCCACTAATGGCAGCGGGTTTTCAAGGGGGCCTCCTCTCCATCCCCATCCCCATCTTCATCTCCATTTAAATCTCCATCTCCTTAACCATCGACGAGCATCGCGGACCACCAAAAAAGCACTCGAACCGCAAGCGAGTAGCGTGCGAAAATGGAACGATGCCAGAAAATAGCCCCAGAGAATGTGAAAAGAATAGAGAAAGACCTGGCGACAAAGCCAGAGAAAGATCTGGAGAAAGAAGGCGAAATTCCAGGGAAAAACTACATCTAAACTTATTTTTAATGTTACAATAATTTAAAATAATATCTGCGCTTAAGAATTTAAGCAAAATCTAGAGAAAGAATGCAGGATGCTAAAAAATAGTTATAGTTTAAATAAATTTAAATAGATAATTCTTTTAAGAACCATAAATATAAGTTATTAATTCAGAAGCCCCAGAACTGCCTTAAGAAATGGTAGAGGAAGACTGTGGAAAACTAAGAGAACGGGAAACAAATTATAAACATTATTCTGATGCTTAAAGAACCTATTTCTATGGAGAAATCGCACAAACTTTCAAATTTGATATTGATAACTCCTCAAACACGGAATACTGGAAGCGCAGCTCTATTTGGTCAACATCATTAGCTGATAAATTGGGCACCATTAATTTATTCATTTGCCTCTTTCGCCTTTGTCTTATTAATTTGCTTGCATGTTCGAAACTGTCAATGAGGCAAGGTCACATTTCGGTTAAGGAAACGACTGCCGATGTGAGAACTTAAAGATTTCGAAGATAAATAGGAGAGGCTGGCTAAAAAGTGACCTAGACAAGTGGAACCACCGATTAAGGCGTGTAAACAACGATGAAGTCAATTAGAAGGTGGTTCTTTGAAATCTATTTTTAATAAGTCCTCTGAGTAAAGTGTATCGATTTTTTTATTATGTAGAAAATATATACATATGTGGTGGCCCAAATAATAAACTTAATTACTCTTCTCGAAAATAATAATGGTTGACCTTAAGTCGAGAAAACGAATATTATTTCTCAGAAAAATCTAATCTAATTTGTAAATCCTGTAGTTGTCTCAATTTGTAGTCTATTTTTTGCAGTGCAGTCACAACTACTCGCCCAAATTAAAAGCCTGCACTTTGCATCCGTAAAAGGTTTCCAATTTTGTGTTTTGCTATTTTGCACAGATTGTAATCAAGCCAAAACTAGTTTAGTTTTTGTTAAAAAAGTAAAAAGGAAAAAGGTGATGCTTTCGGGAAGCCAACTTAGAATTCTGTCTGTTATGCGTTTCAATAACTACTTTTTTTATGAATTTAATATTTTTTAAAATTTCTTATTTCATCAATTTGAAGCATTCATATATTTTGGACATAACCATTTTCTTTCACAAGACATCAGAAAATCAGAAATAACTAACATGAAAATGAGTCAAAAATTTGATCAACACTAAATCGAAAATTTTGAATGCAGATTTTTAGAGGATCGAATCACGAGTCTTTAGAGGTATGCCACTTTGGAATCGGATTAAATTTGGTAAATTTGGTAAAGTTATGAATTCTCGAAGTCCAATTTTGAGTCACTCTATTTCAAGACATCGGAAAATCAGAAATAACTAACAAGAAAATGGGTCAAAAATTTGATCAACGTTAAATCGAAAATTTTGAATGCAGATTTTTAGAGGATCGAATCACGAGTCTTTAGAGGTATGCCACTTTGGAATCGGATTAAATTTGGTAAAGTTATGGACTCTACAAGTCCAATTTTGAGTCACTCTATTTCAAGACATCGGAAAATCAGAAATAACTAACATGAAAATGGGTCAAAAATTTGATCAACGTTAAATCGAAAATTTTGAATGCAGATTTTTGAAGGATCGAATCACGAGTCTTTAGAGGTATGCCACTTTGGAATCGGATTAAATTTGGTAAAGTTATGAATTCTCGAAGTCCAATTTTGAGTCACTCTATTTCAAGATCGGAAAATCAGAAATAACTAACATGAAAATGGGTCAAAAATTTGATCAACGTTAAATCGAAAATTTTGAATGCAGATTTTTAGAGGATCGAATCACGAGTCTTTAGAGGTATGCCACTTTGGAATCGGATTAAATTTGGTAAAGTTATGAATTCTCGAAGTCCAATTTTGAGTCACTCTATTTCAAGATCGGAAAATCAGAAATAACTAACATGAAAATGGGTCAAAAATTTGATCAACGTTAAATCGAAAATTTTGAATGCAGATTTTTAGAGGATCGAATCACGAGTCTTTAGAGGTATGCCACTTTGGAATCGGATTAAATTTGGTAAAGTTATGAATTCTCGAAGTCCAATTTTGAGTCACTCTATTTCAAGACATCGGAAAATCAGAAATAACTAACATGAAAATGGGTCAAAAATTTAATCAACGTTAAATCGAAAATTTTGAATGCAGATTTTTAGAGGATCGAATCACGAGTCTTTAGAGGTATGCCACTTTGGAATCGGATTAAATTTGGTAAAGTTATGAATTCTCGAAGTCCAATTTTGAGTCACTCTATTTCAAGACATCGGAAAATCAGAAATAACTAACATGAAAATGGGTCAAAAATTTGATCAACGTTAAATCGAAAATTTTGAATGCAGTATTTTAGAGGATCGAATCACGAGTCTTTAGAGGTATGCCACTTTGGAATCGGCTTAAGTTTGGTAAAGTTATGAATTCTCGAAGTCCAATTTTGAGTCACTCTATTTCAAGACATCGGAAAATCAGAAATAACTAACATGAAAATGGGTCAAAAATTTGATCAACGTTAAATCGAAAATTTTGAATGCAGTATTTTAGAGGATCGAATCACGAGTCTTTAGAGGTATGCCACTTTGGAATCGGCTTAAGTTTGGTAAAGTTATGAATTCTCGAAGTCCAATTTTGAGTCACTCTATTTCAAGACATCGGAAAATCTTATTCTTTGGTATCTATCCTATACTAAAAATTGCTCATATTAAAACTTTAGCTAAAAATTAAGTAAACATTAATTTTAAATAGGTTAACAAGATTAGGATATAATTTGTTGTGCCAATTGTAATTTGAGTGATCTAACCAAGGACTTTTCCTACTATTTCAGTGATATCTTCGGGATCAGGATGTCGGCTGCCACGCACATGGCGCTGCCGGCTCACGCCGTCGTCCCGCCGCCCGGAACACCGCCGGTCCTGGGGGGCAGTGAGTGCTCCAATCTCAGCCTGTCGGCGGGCAAGCGTGGGCACAAGCGCAGCGTGTCGCTGGAGAACAACGCCCCGGCTGGCGTTGCGGAGCACTCCCAGTCTGGGCCAGTCCTCGCTGGGATCGCCCCTGCTGCAGTTTGGCCAGGGTCCCGGTCAGGGGCACCTGCAGGCCTTCCACACGGGCACCCTGAAGTCGCGACAGGAGCAGCGCCGGCTGAGCCAGAAATTCGGGAGTCACAGCAACCTGGACGACGATGGTGTGGGATCGGGATTGGGAGTTGGCGGGGGTGGGGGTGGGGGCATGGGCCTTCAGATGCGCAGCAAGTTCCAGAACATTCGTCAGATGTTCGAGCTGAGCCGGAGCTGCGTGGTTGGCGGGGGAGGGGGCGGAGGCGGTGCCGAGGAGGAGGCGCTGCAATCTCTGCCAGCAACATTGCCGCAGCAGCAGCAGCAACATCAGCAGCAGCAGAGGCGGACCACGCCCATTGCCGGCGGAAGTCGCCAGCAGCAACAACAATTGGGCGAGGCGGAACAGGTGAGGCCCATAAATACACAGAAAGAAATGATTTCAAATTTGTTTCGAACCAGATAGCAGAATTTTTATTTATTTATACAACATTTTTAATTTGTTTTTAATACGTTTTTGGTTAAAATATTTGAAAGTACAAATATACTTATTACGTTTTAGTTAAGTTTGCTAATTATTATAATATATTAAACTTAACATGTAGAATTTTAGATATTTCAAGCATTAAGGGCCCTATTATTTTGACCTAATCTGTGGCTTAGTTTTAAACAAATTGAGTTTGATTTCCAGACCAGCGGCAACTTTCTGCGACCGATCGCATTCAAGCCCATTCCATTTGAGCCGGACTATCGCATCGCTTGCCAGCAGCAGCAACAGCACCAGCAGCAATTGCAGTTGCAGCAACAGCAGCAACAACAGCTGCAGCTGCAACACCAGCAACAGCAGCAGCAGCAACAACAGCAACAGCAGCAACATCAGGGGCTGCAGTTGACGGCGGAAGGCGGGCAGGCGGGGGGCGGGGCCGAGCGGTACGGCTACGGATCGACACCATCACTTGCCCCGCTGCTCACCGCAGTCGCCCAGAAATTTGGCAGTGAGTAGCAGTTAACATTTCGATTTATGTAGATTAAATAGTCACTTGACATTGAGCGATTAATTATGAACTGTCTAAGAAGTAAAGTGGACACGATAATGTTCTATTTTAAAGTACTAGCATGGTATTTTCAGCAAATATATATATTTTCGCTTATATAAAAATTTTAATCGAATTAATTTAAGAACCCAGAAGTTAATTGTTAAGATCTTTCATAGAGTTCAAACTTCACTCTGCGCTTGAAAATAAATAATACCCTTGAATATAATTAGACAAAATTTAGACAATTTTTATTGTGTTTATTTCTTATAGTATTGACAAAAATCAATATTTTTATTACCAGGTACCACAGATCTGCGACACCTGGCCGCCCGGCGTCGAAATCATCGTATACTGCAGCGCTCCAGCAATGAGGATTCGCTGACCCTTGACCTCTTGAGCACAGGAAGCCACGACAGACCCGATGGGGCTAGCAGGTTTGTCCAATTAATATGCAACCATAACTTATGCTTATAGTTTTGATTTGTTTACCCTTGCAAAGGGTATAAAAATATATTATATATATAAAGTTAAAATGATTTGGATCAGCATCACAAAGTTAGTCGCTAGATCCGTCTTTTCGTTTCTACAAGTCTCTTAAAATAAAATAATTGCACAATTGTGGTTTTAATTTTATAAATATGAGACCTCTAATTTATTGAAGTAATCGAAATACAGTTGCTTAATGGAATATTCATTTTCGTAATAGCTGCATAGTATATATACTTTGCCTTGCTGAAGCGTGCTTGCGTTCTTGTTTATAATTAATCTTAAATTTAATCTGCAGCAAGAGCAGCGGCACAGTGGTGGGCAGCAGCGACCTGACGCCCTCGCCCTCGGACTCCGGGATATCGGAACTGGAGGCGGCGCTGAAGGATCGCGACTCGGAGCTCTCGTACCTGCGACAGGCCATGGAGCACAATGAGAAAGTAATTTTCCAAGTACAAAAGGTTAAGCAGGCAGCCGCCGGCCCACTAGACCACCAAATCGATTTGAATGTCTTCTAAATTGTAAATGTGTCTTTCGATCAGGACAAGGAGGTGTACTGGGAGCACGAGACGCAGCGGCTGAGGCTCTTCTACGAGGGTCAGCAGCGGGAATGCCAGCTGAAGCTGCGCAAGATGGAGCAGCTCCTCGGACTGCAGCAGTTCCAGCTGAAGCAGCACAAGCTGCGCCAGTCGGAGCAGGTCAACCGGCTGCAGCAGCAGCTCGATCAGGCCCGGGACTCCGGACAGGGACTCCAGCAGCAGGTGGACGCACTGCGTCACCAACTGGAGGACAGCGAGTGGCGCGTCTGCGAGCGCAACGGGGAGATAGCTTTACTCAAGACGCAGCTCAAGGAGGCGCATGTAGGTTTTCCAAGCAGCGCGATTTATATATTTAACAATATTTATGAAAACCAATTACGGCAAAGTCGCTTTTCAACAGAGAAAGTTGAGCTAAAAATTTAACTATCAATTTTCTTGCAGCTGGAAATCAACATGAAAGATCATGCCATTGTCAGCCTGAAGCACAGCAGCAACACCAACAGGAGCAGCAGCAGCAGCAACAGCAGTAATACCTGTGACACAACCACAAGCCAAAGTCAACCAAAGCAACAGGCGAACGAGGATCAGCAGCCGGAATTGCAACAGCAACACCAGCAATATCAACAGCAACAAAAGCAGCAGCAACAAAAGGAACTGAAGCAGCAACAGCAGCAACTTAATCATCAGCAACAGCAGCAACACAATCAGCAGCAACAGATGCAACAACAGATTCAACAACAGCAGCAACAGATGCAACAACAGCAGCAACAGCAGCAACACAATCATCAGCAACAGCAGCAACTTAATCATCAGCAACAGCAGCAACTTAATCATCAGCAACAGCAGCAACACAATCATCAGCAACAGCAGCAACTTAATCAACAGCAGCAACACAATCATCAACAACAGCAGCAGCAGCAAAAAAATCAGCCTGACCAGCAGCAACTGCAGAAGATCATTACGCTGAAGGATCAGGTGATTGGGGCACTGACCAGCGAGTTGGCCAAGCTGCGCAAGGAGCTCTCCGATCTGGCCATTGCCCATGAGTACGGCGAGGAGCCGTGTGGTCGATACACTCGACTCAAGCAACAGTTGGACAACCTGAACGAGATCTGCCAGAAGACACGAAAGTACACAACAGCAGCAACCACAACAGCTGCCGCATCTCCGGCAGCAGCAACATGTCCCCAGGAGCTGCCCAAGTTGGATGTCCTGGTGCAGCGATTGCAACTGGATCAGGGACAGGCGCCGCAGCAGACGCTGGACACCCTCATCGAGGAGTCCACCACGTATGCGGAGGACATAGCCAAGCTGCGCCAGAAACTGGACGATTTCCGCCTGAATCTCGAGCTGGAGAAGCGTCAGTGGTGCGCCGAGAAGGACAAGGTGCTGGGCTACCAGAAGCAGCTGCAGGCCCACTATATCCACATGTACCAGAAGCTGCGCTGCCTTGACAGCAGCCAGGCATCGGCGATGGGCGGAGGAGCAGCATCTGGGCAGGTGGAGGCCACCAACGGCAACTGATGGGATTTGGGGGAATGCAGGCAATGGTGCTATCATCACTGGGCGAATGAACTAAGGAACTATGGGGACACTGCCCTTAAAGTATATTTATTCTCTAAAACAGCTGATTTCAAAACAATAGTTGTATTTGCTTGTTTTTAAAAATCAAATATATTTTTGAATTTCTATGTTATAAAAATTAAAAACGGCTAAGTATTTATAGTTCGCAAGCCCTTTAAAGAACTTGAAAAGTTGTTAGTCCTCTAATGAAAATGTTCAAAAGCTCAAAGTAAATTGACATCATTTTAAAATTTATTTTACAATGCCTTACTACTATTATTTTGAACACAGCTGTAAATAATTAAACTTATCAAAATGATATTTATAAAACATTTTTGTAGCCAAATGTTTTTAAATTATAAATTTATCTGATTTTGAACCAACCTAAGAAGTGCCTTAAGGTAAACGTTTTTTTAAATTAATTAACTTCTTTGATTGGTATCCATTGATCAAATATTATAGTTAACTATTGTTACAAAAATTCCACGATTCGTTTTGATTAGGCTAATAACCGATTTTGGAAACTGTTAGCGCTATTAAAAATCTATTTGAAATGTTTTATATTAGTGTATAAACACATTTACTGGTCAATTACTCCTCTACTCTTACCTTTACTAGTACCAAAAATTCTTTCAGTTTTGGTACACCACCAATATTTCACCTACTTGACCAGTGAGCTGGGTCGTTTTCCTCCCTTCGGCGATAAATAATACACGATTTTCGATATTATTAGAGTTGATATACACAAAACTCTATTTTTTTTGTTTTTAATATTTTACAAATATATATATGTATACTTTTAATTTATTAAATGTAATTACAAAACGAGAAAAAAAAATTTGTGATTTCGCATGTTGAATATAATAATCTATATTGATATATGCATGTCGTTCCATTATGTATATGCAATAAAAATAATAATAATGTAATAACAGGAGTTTGTTTTTTATTGATGAGGACCATTCGTCCAGCGCTAAAGTTAATGTGCAGGATCGATAAATGGTAAATGACTGAACTGGGCGCTAAATATAAAGAATAATTGGTAGTTAAAAAAATATAAAAAAAAACATAAAATAAAATTATACAATCTTTACTCTTAGATTACATCGTACGCTTAATGCAAAAGCCTGTCCTGGTATCAGCAGCTTGTCAAGGGCAGGTTAACTAACTTTGTAACACTAGAGCAGATCGATTTGTTTGATACAAAAAAATAGGTCGGACAAATATTCTTTCTAAGCAAATCAGGGTTTAAAATTATAGGCTTAATATTGCTGTTTTTGGCCAATGAGTTTAATGGTTAATAAATTAAAAACTGGTTTTATTGCGAAAAACTAAAAAAGGACTCGTTAATCTCTCGACGCTTTAAAAAAATAAAGAAATATTTACTCAAAGGCAAACTATTTTCATTTCATATCATATTGTAAGCTTAAATTTATGTTTCCTTATTTTACAAAAAATTTTGTGCTTTTCGCTTGAACAACTTATTTATTTATTTAATTGTCTACCAAGAAAATTTCCATGAAAAAACTTATCTGCCTAGTTCGCTTTTTTCAGTTGCTAAATAAGATATAAGCAGTTCGTAAAAATTTTACCAAAACAAAATATTTTCATTTTTAACAAAAAAATGTTTAAACAAAAATGAAGTATTTTCTGTTTTCTTGATTTCCTTCTGTTTTAGAGATGTTAAATTGGTATTATATTAAACGTTTTTCTGTAATCTAATAATTGTTGTGTAATCCACATATGGTTGTTTTTTATCTGCTTGTTAAAGTTTTCATTGAAAGTACAAAAATTAACAAATAGAAATAATTATGTGTATCGCTTTTTCGGTTAAGCTTGAAGTTAAATTAAATCGAACATTAGATTAAGGTGCATTTTTTTTAAGCAATCAAATATGCTGATATTTGGAGAAACATAAAGAGCTATTCTTTTTCATATTGAATACAAAATTAGTTTGGTTGTTGTGAAATTAAACTTTAAATGTAAATATTCCTTTATTTCCTAACAAATTTATCCTTTTTGGTTGAAAAATAATTCTGTGATTTTCATTTATCAATTAAGAGAACATAAGCAATTCAACTTTTTCAATTCTGGGGAAGAGCTTTCCAAAATCAATGTTTCTTTTTCGTTTTTCGTTTGTTTTAAAGCCTTAGCTTTGTAGAAATGTCATATAACAGAAAATGTTGGCAGGTTCAATATTGATCTCAGCCCTGGTATTTCTTTTTCCTCCAATGGTTTTATGTCAAACAAATCGCTCCACAACACACTCATTCTACTGGCAGTCGCACACACTCATTCGCACTTATATATATATATCTATATGGAGGGATCCTGCATCTAGGCGCACTCCTCCACATAGGTGGCCGGGAAGATGCCGATGTGGTTGCGCAGGGCGCCCAGCCACCAGCCGTCGTCCTGCTTGGCATGCACCTCGATGATGTCGCCGGGACTCAGTTCCAGCTCGTCGTAGAGCTTGGGGGAGTAGCTATAGAGCGCCTTGCAGCGTCCCAATATCGGACCGGATCCGTCCTTCTGGCTCTTCTGCATATCCTGCGCATTCTGGTAGAAGTGCTGCGTCTGCATTTGGGCCTTGATCGGGTTGGAATTTTGCAGCTGCTGCTGCGGCTTCTCCGGCTCCTCGTCCTCGTCCTGCGAGCTGAACTCATCAAAATCGGAGTCCTGCTGATTGGATCCACCATCCGCCTGGCCGCGATCACTGTGATGATGATGGTTTTGATGGCCATCCTGGAGATTGGCCAGAGTTTTGGACTTGACGGACGCGGCCACCGCGGCATTCGTCGTCGAGATTATCTTTGGTTGGCTGGTGAAATTGGTCTCGATGTTGCTCTTGCTCCGGTTGAACGGCTTCACCACCGAGCTGATGTCCGTGCAGGATCCATTGCTATTGTTATTGCTGTTGCTGCTGCTGTGCAGGTGGGAGCAGTTCTCCTCGGGGAGCTCATCCTCATGGTTAGTGGTTATATCGGTAATGTCGTGCGCCAGCATACTCGTCGATTGCTGCGTCTGCGACTTGTCGTTGTTCTTCAGCCAGTTGGGCACCTTCAGGATGCTCTGCTGCAGTCCGGTGCGATCACGGGTGATCTGGGGGTTCCAATAGATAGGGATTGTTTAAATAGCAAATAAAATATAAAAAGAGTATTTCGGAAGATAGATATTGTATCAAAATGAAAAACTAAAATAACTTAAATCAAGTTGAACCTAATGTTTCGATTTGGAATGTTATCCTACCTGAATGTGCTGTGCCAGTGGGTGAGTGGTCCTGGGCTTATGGTCCAGCTCCAAAAGGGCAGAGTGCAGCTTGAGGCGGGCGCCCTCCAAATAGGTCAGCATGGAGCGGATCTGCAAAGAAGCTCATTTAATAGGGCCTACTATAAAGTGTGATTAAATGGGAAACCCACGTGATAGAGTTTGTCGGTGATGTTCTGGTTGTCCTGGTGGTTCACTGACTGCGACAGACCCCTCAATCCGTCGCGGGATCGTCGCTCCCGCTCCAGATCCGTTTTGACCAGCTGGAGCAGCTTGATCAGGGCGTGCTTGCGGCGCTCCCGGTTCATGGCCAGCGTGGTGTGTTCGCAGTAAAAGTCTGGGAGCAGCTGCTCACTGGGTCCCTCCGAGTTGCGGCGGATGTGACGCACCACCTGCATGTCCTTGGCCACATTGCAGGCCTCTAGTTGCGGCTGCAGCCGGGTGCTCAGTCCGCCGAGGATCGGGTTCATGTCCGAGATGAGACGGGCATACTGCTGGGCAAAGTTGTGCATATTGCCCAGACGTTGCTGCTCGCTGCTCTGCAACTGGGCACTTCCCCGGAGCACGGCCATCTCCCAATCCACGCGGGCCCGTTCGGCACGGACGCACAGGGTGTAGTACTCCACATCCGCCCGCTTCACCGCCTCCTCGGCCTTCTTGCGCTTATTGTCCAGCTTCACACAATCCTTCTCCGCCGACTTCAGTTCCTTCTCGGCGGCCTGCTTGTTGGGTCCCTGGTGGAGCAGGGCAATCGACGGCGACTTCTGGATGCGCACGTCCAGCATCGCGTCCTGCAGCTTCTCGTTCTCGCGGGCCGCCGTGTGGGAGGCCTTCTTCGCCTTCGCCTCACTGGCTCGCCATTCGCCCAGGACTCGCGCCGCCTTGTCCACGTTGCTCTCCACCTAGAAGATGTATGTTGGGCGGCATTAGAACAGTCATTTCATTTTATAGTATAAAAATTTGTAATGAGACTTTTCAGTTTAGCTTTAAATTAGTTTTTGACTTTATTAACTCAATATTAGTTTGACCTTTTTTTTATTTTTAAATTCTTACCGCCTTGCGCGCCTTGTGATGTCCTTCGACGACGGTTTTAAGCGGCTTGACGAGCTCATCCGTGAGCGAGGCCGCCAACTGGCGATGGATGTCGCTGCGGCTCTCCATCTCCGTAGCCACTCCACGCCAGGCGTCGGCCACGCTCCCGGGGATTTCCCTACCAGCTTTGTTCAGCTTGTTGGCCAGCTTCGATAGCGACTTGGAGTAGATCAGCTCTGAGTCGGCTCTGAAATGGGTAAGGATTTTATATGAGCAATGAAATAAATATCTGTAGATAATTATGGCAGAATAAATGTATTTTATAGCAAATGGTGAATTAATAAAAAAAGGTATTTTCAATTTAAGAAAGTATAAACAAACTAGAGCTCAGGTATTTAATAAAAATTAACGACAATGCTTATAGCATAGGCACAACTGTGCCTATACTATTTTCATAATTAACTTACCTCTCCTGCAGGACGAATATGAGCTCCTTGCTAAAGTCCCCGCCCTGCTTGACATATCGCCGGAGTTCCTCAAAGCCGTTCTGTCCCTGTTTTAGATAGCAACAAAATGGATTAGAAAAATTAATATTCCCTAAATGAACCCACCCGCTTAGCAACCCCAGACCATCAACTACATAGACCTGTACCTCATCCTTGAACCGCTTGGCATGCGGCGACAGATCCTCCTCGCTGTTTCGGTGCGACATGGATGACTCCATTTCGGTGCGTTCGGTGACATCCTCGCAGCTCTCGGTCATTTCGCGGCGACTTCGTTCCGGCGACATTGACTGGCGACTGGCATCCGCCGTGGACTGGTTGAGATTGCTCCTGGATTGGGCAAGACGCTTCAGCGGCGTCTGCTGACGCACTGCCTCCTTGATCTTGGAGCCCTCCTCGCCCAACCAGTGCTTCATGCCGTGCCAGCCCTTCCTCAGCTTCTCCTTGTTGTGATTAAAGTTGATCAGCGTTTGGTTTTTGTTCTTCAGCAGAGTTATCCTGCGCTCACTGGGTCTCAACTGGTCGCGATGCGTGCAGTACTCCAGATCGATCTCCTTGCTAAAGTCCTCCGTTTCGTTGATCTGCCGCGTCAACTCCTGCAGTTCGTCAATGGACACAAACAGATTCTGGGCATTAAGGCTCTGATAGCTAACTGATTTCAGATCAAAGTCGTAGTCCCCATTGCTGCTGCAGGCCAAACTCTGGCGGGAGCTCTGCTGCGAATTCCCATTCAGCTGAAACGAGTCCAGGCTCTTAAAGTGCGGTTGTTGGGCCAAGAACCCACCATTCGGTATGGGTGACCGTTCTAAGGAGGGGAGCTTTACGACTGGCCGATTTTCCTGATTGTCACAGGCCGCCAAACTGAGTTCGCTTGCTCCGTACAGTTCTGGCAACTCTGGTAGATTCAAATCCAATCCAAGTTTTGCCGGGGCCGTAACATTCATGTCCAGGACCATGGAATTGGACTTGTGCAGGTAGACCATTAGTTCGGTGCGATGCAGGTTCTGAACGGACTGGGATTGCATATGCTGGCGACCGATTCGTGGTCGTCTAATAGGACGTTCTATGGCAATGGGTTCTGGGTTTTTGGGAGGTACTACTTCCTGCGGAACCACCTCTTTTAGTTCCTTTTCCTCCACCTGATGTTTGGGTGTCTCAAAATGTTCTGGCTCCTCGAGATCTTCTAGATCTTTCTTCTCCTCCTGCTGTGGTTCGTTAAGATCCTGATCCTCCTTGTTTTCTGGGTCCTCTGAGTTCCGAAGATCTTCTTCCCTCTCCATTTCCTGCGGACTGCTCCTGGCGTCCACAAACTCATCTTCATCCGAACTTCTCGGAGTCAAGGTTCTCACAATATTGGAGTTCTGGGCTATGCCACCGCCAATCTGTTTGAGTCTCGCCTCCGTTACGTCGAAACGATCCGTATCTAGAGTGGTAGTGGATATCAATACAGGAGCTCCAATCTCCAGGCGATGGTCATCCGAATGACTGCCGGTCATGTTATAGCTGCCGGTGTGGAGTTTACTGGGCGAAACTGAATTATCACCGGCGTTATTCACCGGATTCAGATTCATACTGCCGAGATGGCGACGTCCCAACTTATTTCCCAGCACAGAGTAACGTTTGATCCTGCCTAGAAATCCTTTGGCTCCGCCACTGTGATTATTATTTCCAACATTGTTGTTGTTATTGGTATTATCCGCTGGTGGTAAATCGGCCATGGCGGCATTATCTTTGCCGCCCAGCTTAAATTTGTGCACCCGCAGGTGGTTCATCGTTGACGGCTGTTCGATTTTTGACACAAAAACATTAAAAATTCCGAAACTTGCACTCTCGTCAGAGTGTGTGTGCGTGAGTGCATTGTGTTTGAGAGAGAGGGAAAAATGGAAACAACGCAAACCACAACAGCAACAACTGCAGCAGGGTAAAAGGAAAGGTGGAACAGGGGAGAGCAAACTGAGCTTCTTCTAGGCGGTAAGGGAACCCCAAAAAGAGACCGAGAGTCGACCTGGAAGTGACGCGTGCTGATGGGAAAGGTTCCGTTCCTTTCGATTGGAACACTCGTACTCTCCCATAAACAGTCGTTTTAACTTTGTCACCTTGATTAAGGTCACTTTAAAGTAAACAAAAAATCGAATAGACAAAATTTAAAAATATCGGATCACAAGTAACTACTTTCTAGAAATTGTGTTAAATTGTATGGACAACTAATGCGAATAATACGATTTTTTAAAATGAATGTAATTATTGTTTTCTTTTTAAATTATTAAAAGTATTAAACACATTTTTTCGCATACATGTATGCATGTTATTAATTCGAAAACCATTACTATCTTATGCATAGTTGAACCGAAATACTTTTTCTTTTAGTATGTAATGCGTCATTTTAAATACTGCACATCTTTCTAAAAAGAAGAAACACAAGAAAATAAAGTAATGTAAGAAATGTTAAATCCATTAACTCCCTAATTTAGTTCACATAGAAATTGGAAACCATAGCCTAAGGCAACCTAAATTCCACTGGGGCCATAAACTGTTAATCTTAGATACCCAAATCATTATCCCCCGTAATACCCTGTACTAAGTAACTTAAGCGGGCTATGTTCACCTACATAAAGCACACAGATAACATAAACACACAGAACAGAAAGGAAAAGGAGGAGGAGGAGGAGGAGGAAAAGGAAAAGGAAAAAGAGGAGTGAAAGGAGGAAGAGCAAAGGGTAAATGACTCAAGAAAGGTGCGAAGAATCAGATGGAGATAAAGAGAAGGGACCCATTCCTCACCTTCTGGTGACCCCTGACCGTCCCCTCTCTTCACCCTCCTCACCCTTTTTTTCCTCTCTCCCTGGAATTCTCTTCCTCTTTGCTCCAGTTTTCGATGCAGGTAGAGATTACAAAACGTTTTGAAATCAATGGGGGGCGTGAGAGGGCATGAAAAGCATGGGAGGAGGAGTGGAAAATGGGGGGCAGTGGTTGCTCGAAGGAGAATAAGAAGAAGCCGACGCACAAATCGCTGCGTTGGCCACTGGAACAAAAAGTAGCCGCCTGTGGCGCCCCTGCGACTGCGACGCCGACAGCGACGTCTGCCTGTCTCCTTTTCTGCTTTGTATCTGCCGATCAAGTGTGGCCAGACAGCAGCGCCCAAATGAATAGCATCGTCATTTATTTAAAAGTTGTATCTATTTTGGAAAAACCTTATAATTTAAGCACTTCACTTTCTAATGTTGTTTCATAAAAAAAGTGTTAGATTTGCGTTCTTTTCAACTATGGCTTTAATTTCACAACATCAAAATTAGTTACGATCAAAATTTAGAAAGAAAACTTACCTACAATGCAAGTGATCTAATAAAATTGCTATTAATCACATTTCACTAAAAACCATTAGCGTAATTTTTAACCGCTACTATGGGATTTTTATGATCTATCCATTCCGCTGCACTTTTTCTTCTTCTCTACCCACAGTCATTCCGTGTCGGTAATTATATAAATCATTTATTTATGAACTATTTACTTTCGAGTTAAGTCAGATAATGGGTATTCTCAACGATTTCTCTCCCCCTCCGTCGCCCTTTTCTAATTGCGTTCGCTTGAATGAAATGCAAATTGTATTTATTTTTCACTGAGCAGATCGCAATTTCTAATTACAAATGTGCATATAACTTGGGTTAGCTCCGATTTCTGTTGTTGCAAAAGCTTAGCAAAGTGGAGCAGTGGGATGGTGAAAAAAGAAGAACAGGAGAATAGGTGAAAAAGAGTAGGAGGGGGAGAGTAAAGAACTGGGGACAAGCGACGATCATTAAGCCTCAGTTGTTGTTATAACTGTGCTGTGATGTAAGCATCGTGCTCAGTTTCTACAAATGCATATGTTATACAGTGCGCCCTCTAAGACTCAACAATTTTAAATGAACCAAATGTTTTCTCTTCTAATAAAGTATGATATGCGTAATTTACATATTTTACGATAATAAAAATATCGTTGTCCTCTATTTTTATGGTCTATCAAGGGTCAAAATTTCTTACCGCAAAGTTCTTCGAAAGCACTAGAATCGTTTACCAAGTAAGTACTGTACTCTTATTTATGTAGATATCTGGGTTGCCTTTGTTACACTTTTCGCGATTCAAATGGCCGACGTGCGAAACCGTAGTAAGTAAAACAATTTAATTACATTTTGCACTTGTTTGTTGTTGCGGCTAATAGCATTTGCATCGAACAAGAAGCAGAGCGGCCAAAGAAGATGCAAAAACCGGAGGTTAATAAGCGACAGAGGGAGCAGGGGGTTAATCGCTCCGTCTGCGATATGTCACGTTTCGCAGAAGCAAGTGGAGTGCAATAAAGTGGAGTGTGTGACAAGTCAAAAGACAATTCAACTAATGAGCGAGCTTAGCTGAAAAGCCGCCCAAGCAGTCGGTGAAGCAGTCTGCAAGCAGTGTACACAGAGCGAAATTGAGTCGTCGAAAAAACTTTGCTTTTAATGTTTTAGTACTGTTTGTACCAAGAAGTCATATAAAATGTTTGCATTGTTTTTTTTGAAATCACCTAGGCTTTCCAGGACAAATAATAAAAATTAAAACATATCCCGACGAATGCAGATATCCTTTCGATTTCAAAATTCATGCCTAATTTTATAACATTTTTGCCAAGTGCAAAAGGTGGAATATCAAAAAGGGGTGAGGCAACCCGAGAAGAACCTGCAATTATGGGAAGCCTTCTGCCAACTTCGCGTTCCAGGTTTAAAAGTCAAATAACATAAATTATGGCCAGACGGACGGAAGATCATATGGGGGCAAGACCCACGAAGATAAACACTGGAGCTGTGGATGCAATGGGGGAGGGGGGTAAGTCAGCCCGTGGGCCTCAGGACTCTATAAATAGAGTTGCCAACTGCGGCAATTGCAGCCACCGACAATTGCGAGTCCCTTTGCTGGGGCCCTTCCTTTATGGCAATTTATGATTAATAAAAGGAATTAATCGCACAAAATGCCAGCGAGTGGCCATAATTGGTGGCACCGACTCCTGTAAGGACCGATGGATTACAGTCAAGGTCATCATAAGGCCACAAAGTGGGGGTCTATCCTGAGAATACCCTCTTAAAGCTTTTACCATATTTAGTTTCCCCGATTTATTCCATTGACTCATTTCTAATTGTAATTTCACTTCCTAGCTCTGATTTTTAGTTTGACTGATTTATAGTTTGGCCCAGGTTCAGTTTTTATATTAATTGAAATTAAGGCGAGCAAGTGCAATCCATTTTTTGCAATGGAAAAGTAAATTGAAATAAAATAATAATTTAGTTTTATTTATACTTACATATATACACATTCTTAATGTAACATATTTTTCGTAAGTGAGCTTTTTAATCTTTCCTGAAAACTCTATACTTGCACCTCTCAATGCCTGGCACTAAACAACGACTGTCGCCGCATTGTATATAGAAATTGATTCCCATAAACAAAAGTGCGAAAGTCTCGCGAACACTTGGATATAGTAAACCATTCATGGGATACGTTTTTCCATTAAAAACGTGCCCATTACTAAAGTGCAGATACCTTGAATCGAAATAATCCTGCAATGTTTTTTATATGGAGTGTGGTTGCTATGGGAGAAGATGATTCGTGTTGCGACTATTTACTTGGCATTAATCTCATTTCCGCGCTGGATCTGGCAGTAGTTTATGGGGCACATTTATCTCATTTAATGTCTAGAACAATAAACAAAGCCCAAAACTTGTTGTTGCCAAAAAATGGATAAAAAACTGTAAAGATTTTCCTGCCCTTTATACTTTGCCTCGTGTGCCATCGGTTGATCTTTCGATCTTTCTACGCCAGCCAAAAATAGAGAATGAAAATAAGGTAGAGCAAAACAAAATACAAAAATAAAAAAAAAGCTAGCCAAAAAACCTTATAGACAGTGTCTGTATGTCGACGCTTTCTGTTTCACTTACGCAAATATTTTCACAACTTATCGCGGGATGTTGCGCCAAATGCGCAAGGTCTGAGACCCGAATGCAAAAAATAATTCTCTTAATGAGGCATTCAATGGCGAACCACTCTGTTTGCCTTTCCCCGCATTTCTCGAATACCATTCAAATGGTTAAGACGTTTTTTTTATGTTCAGATGGGTTGGTCTTTAATCTCTGGCCCGATTCAATCGGATCCGATCCGATCCGACCACCTGACTCGGGTAGGTCACGTTCGCCGAGGTGTCAAGACGAGATGAGAGATACAGGTGCAGATAGCTGCTAGATAAACGGATTACAGTGAACGATAAGGAAGTTGGCAAAAATCCCTTATCGTCTGGCAATATTTGAAGAAAAACTGCCAAGTAATCGCCAAATGTGAGCTGGGTCTTATATAAATGTACCCAGAACTTGAAGATATCTTTTCTAGAAAGAAACCATTAGATCACATTACATTTAAAGCTATGACTAAGAAGAAATTGTTACCACAAACCTAATAAAAAATATATTTCAAAAGTATTTGCTAGATTTTAAGAAGAAAAATAAGATAAAGCGCATTTTATGCATTTTCCTTATGAATATGTCACAATTTCTTAAAGAAAACAGAAATCTTATCCCATAAGATTTATTTAAAAATCAATTTTATAAAAACTTCGTTATGGATCCAGGAATTTAGCTTTTTCTTATTTTTTTGAATCTCTCCATAATTTATAACCAATTAAAAAATTAATTCACTTGATTTGAAACAAGCTCGTCATTAAGCAAATTGAAAAACCTAATTAAAGCTAGATCTTTACTCCAAGAAGTTCTTGCTCGTCCAAGTGATTGTTTTTCTTTGAGGATGTTGCACTCGGTTCATGTGGGTGTCAGGGGTTAACGCAATTAACCCGTTTCGCAGTGCCGCCTCAATCAATTTTTGTTAAATGTCATTGACATGCCGAGCATGCAATGTGTTGCAGCAGGCAGCAAATGAATGGGACGTAGAGCTTTTATTTATTTTTTTATTTTTTATTTTTTTTCACCTCAATTCTTCTGCCGAATGCCGTTAGACAGAGGGGATTGTGGGCATCTCGCTTGCTCTTTTGCTTTGAGTGCCTGTCAATCTTGTTAGAAATGCGTTTGTTCTTTGAAAAGGGCGAGAGAAGGGGCCCGAAGACCAGAAGACTACGCAGAAGACCCAGAAGAAGCGGCTAAAAAGCGGCTGCATTTATTTTTATTCGACATTCGGTCATTTTGGGCTTATGCTTTGTTTTTCGTCATTGTGTTTGTCTTTGGAATCCGTTGAATATGGTGACTGTGCCTAATTAACTATCGAACTACA